GGGTTCGCGGGGGTGTGGGGGAGCAGAGGGGCTGGGAGCCCGGATGCCCGAGGTCTCGGGGGTGGTGGGGGTGAGAGCACCAGCTCTGGGAGGGGAGTGGGGACTGTGGGGATCAGTGGGGGGGGGCTGGGGGCGCCCGGATGCCTGGGTCCTGGTGCGTGCGTCAGGGGTGGGGGTGCGGGAGGATGTTTGTGTCTCGGGCATTGTCTGTTTATCTGGGCTGGGTCCCTATAGCTTCCCCGCCTCATCCCTCCCAGTCTCAACCAGTAAGACCCAATTCCTCCCAGTCTCTCCCCCTGTGCTCATTTCCAAGGCCTGCCCCTCCCTGCCCTGCTCCAGGGGAGACCTCCCAGTTTCCCCCCTCCCCCCACCCCTGGTACTGGGAGGAGGCCTCCCCGTACTGGGCACCAGCTTGGGGGCCACCCAGTGTGGCTGAGAGCCCGGATGCCTGGTTGCTCTGTGGGGGATGAGAGGGTTGTTGGGGATTGAAGTGGGGGGGTTTGGGAGTCTGCATGCCTGGGTCCCAATGTGGATATTCAGGTCCTCCTCTGGGTGGGAGATACCCCCAGCCTGGCCCCCCGCAGCAAGGCAGGGGCTGGTTCAGGTTGCGGGGTATGTACAGTGCTTGGAGCCAGGGGTCAAGGTCACCAGCTGGGAGCTGGGCAGGGCTCCTCCCCTCCCCACCGGCCAGGAAACCCTCGTGGGCCTCGGCCCTGGGCCTGGCGCCAGGGAGCTGTGTCCGACTGCAGCCACAGCACGTGCAGGGGAAGAAACCAGGCATTCAGGACACACACACACACACACACACACACACACACACACACACACAACCCAGGCATCTGCCCTCCCCCCGCTGGACGGGGGTGGGGGCTCCAGGCATTTATACCCATCCCTGTCCAGGCTCCGGCAGCACTGAGCTGACCCCATGCCTGGCAGGATGGGACCCCTCCTCCTCCTCCTCCTCCTCTTGCCCGGTGAGGACAGCCCGGGCGCCTGGGTCTGCTCTCAGGCACCTGTCTCCGGGTGGTCGACCAGTGGTGCAGCTCTCTGGGAGAGCCCGGATGTCCGGGCTCTGGGCCCCTCTAATGTCACCCCACCAGGCTCCCCTCTCCCCTCCCAGAGCTTGGGAGGACCCAGGTGTCCGGGCGGGGCGGTACTGACCCCTTTCACTCCCCCAGAGTGGGTGCGTGGCAGCCCTGGGACCCTGGAGATCATCCCGGCTGACGGCGCTGTGGAGCTTGGAAACGAGACCTTCTTCCTGTGCCAGGGTGAGTGCGGGGCACGGGGCCCCCTCCTCCCGGCTCCTGTCCCCTCATCCCTCCATCCCTCATCCATTTCTATAACTATCCCTCCCTCTATCTATCTCTGTAACCATCCATCCATCCCTCCATCCATCAACATGGCTACATCCATGCATTTCTATGACCTTCTCTCCATCCATCCATCTCCATGTCCATCTGTCCACCTCCGTATCTATTTATCTGTCTATCTATCCCCCCTACCCCCCGGTGTGACGCCCTCATGCCCTCCCTGGTGCTGGCAGTGCGTGGCGGGGGCGAGGCGAGCCCGATGTGGCTGGGCCCGGATGAGGCCATGGTGCCAGAGGGGGACCGCAGCGCCGAGGCGGGGCCGTTCCGGCAGCGGCGGGGTGACGGGCGCCGCGCCGAGCTGCATGTGATGCTGACGGTGCCGGGGCAGGGCGGGCGCTTCCGGTGCCAGGGCACCTTTGACTCCGGGGATGACGTTGCTGCCAACATCGACATCCGCCCTGCTGGTGAGAGCTGGGTGCTACGGCCCCATATGGATCGGGGCCCCTCAGGCATCATATTATAAGGGTCCCTGGGCCTTATAGTCCCATAGGGACTGGGGTCCCCCAAGCATCATAGCCCCCTATAGACTGGGGACCCTGGGCCCTATAGCCCCGTACGGACAGGGGGCCTGGGGCTATATAGCCTCATATGAACGGGAGGTCCTTAGGCATCATATATGAGGGTCCCTGGGCCTTACAGGCCTGTAAGGATTGGGGTCCCCCAAGCATCATAGCCCCATATGGATCAGTGTCTCTGGGCTGTATAGCCCTGTATGGACCGGGTCCCTGGGCTCTATAGCCCTGTAGGGACCAGAGGCCATCAGGCATCATATATAAGGTCCCCTGAGCCTTATAGTCCCATAAGGACTGAGGTCCTCCAAGCATCACAGCCCCATATGGGTCTCTGGGCAGTATAGTCCCATATGGACTGGGGTCCCAGGGCCCTATAGCCCTGTATAGACCAGAGGCCCTGAGGCATCATATACAGCAGTCCTGGGGTCCTATAGCCCCATAGGGATTGGGGTCCCCCAAGCTTCACAGCCTCATATGGACCAGGGTTCCTGAGCCCTATAGGCCTGTATGGACCAGAATTCCCGGTATGAATAGTGGGCAGGACTTATAGCAGCGGGGCCAGGGGAAATGGATGGGACCTGGGCCAGGGCCGAGGGTGGTGGGCGGGGCTACATAGCAGGGGCAGGGCCTATGCAAAGTAGCTGGAGGCTGCTGCTGCCCCAGCCCTCATGCCCCTCCCCTGCTTATTGCCCCCCGGGCCGCTTGCAGAGGACCCCCAGATCGTGGCCCTGACCCCAGCGCTGGAGGTGGCCGAAGGGGCCGCAGCCGAGGTCAAGTGCGAGGTCACGGGGACCCCAACCCCCACTGTGACCTGGGAGCGTGGAGGGCGTGACATGGCCGCCTTGGGGGACCGTGAGTGATGGGGGCAGGGTAGGGAGGGGCATTATGGGATTGGGGGGTATGATAGTGGGGCCCAGGGAGGAGCATTATGGGATTGGGAGGGTTGATGGAGTGGGGGCCCCCAGGAAGAGGCATTATGGGATGGGGAGGACTATGATGGGGGAGCTCGAGGGAGGGGCATTATGGAGTTGTAGGGTCCAGGGGGCAGCTAGGGAGAGGCGTTATGGGATTGGGGAGGGTTGATGGGGGGCTCCAGAGAAGGGCATTATGGGATTGAGGGGCTATGAGGGAGTGGGGGGCCACCCACAAAGCCCCAGGCCCCAGTTCCCTATGGAAATTCCCCCCCAGTCTCTACTGGTTTGTACTGGGAGCGGCCCCCAAGCACAGTCTTGGGGTCCCCCCCTCACAACCAGGCCCCATCCTCCTGCTTGATTGACAGCTGCCCCCCATGGTGCTGTCTGCCCCCTGCCAGGCACCCACCCAAGGCGGGGCAGCAGAAGGGGGCAGGAGGGTCCCTCAAAGCCCCCTCAGGCCTGGGGGGTGATGTGTACGTGTGTGCGCCGCAGGCCGCCTGGTAGTGCAGGAGGGGACGCTGGTTGTGGTGGCGGCGCAGCCGGGCGACGCTGGTGTCTACACGTGTCGCGGGCGCCAGGCCCGGCGTGGGCGTGAGGTCATGCGCACGGTCACGCTCAGCGTGCTCTGTGAGTGTGAGGAAAGGGAGGGGCACTGGGGTTCTTTGCAGGGGGGGTGGGGCTTTGGTGGGCCTGGATGCCCGTGTGGGGGCGGGGTTGTCCCGGATCCGGGGGGTGGGGGTGCACGTGCGCTGGATGGGGCTGGGGCTTGGTGGACTAGGCCCAGGGGGGCAGAGCCAGGGGTTGGTGGGTCTGATCAGGCCCCACCCATGCCTCAGTTTCCCCCAGGATTGAGACCCCCCACAACAGCTCAGTCTGTGCCAGGCCGGGGACCCCTGTGACCGTGAACTTCACTGTCTGGGCCCACCCTGCCCCCACAGCCACTGTGGCCTGGCAGGGCAAGAACCTTGCCCTGCAGCCCCTGGGCCGGGATGGCGCCCGGCACCACTATGCCCTGCAGGTGAGTCTCCACAACGCTACGGGGCCCAGGACATGTGTGCTTCTGGCATGCAACACCCCCCTCCCCACAGCCAGCAGGAGCCGCAGATACCCTGAATGCCTGGGTCCTCTGAGTGTGTGTGTGTGTGTCTGTGCACGCTTGTGTGTCCCTTACACCTGGGTCCTGTGTGTACGTGTGTGTGCGCACAACGGTGTGTTCCAGATGCCTGGGCTCCATGTGCGCGTGCCCCGGATGCCTGGGCTGTGTGTATGTATGTGTCCCAGACACCTGGGTCGTGTGTGTATGTGTGTGTGCATGCATGTACATTTGTGTGTCCCAGACACCTGGGTTCCACATATGTGCATGTGCACATGCATGGCCCGGATGCCTGGGTTCTGCATGTGCCCCCCCACCACACACACAAGGCCTGCCAGGCCTGGCAGGGGGAGGGGGGGACCTCTGGGGCCCCACTTCCCACCTTGACCCGTGACTCCAGGTGACCCCCAAGACCCCGTGGGACTTCTCCTCGGAGCTGGTGCTGGAGGCCTCCAATGCAGTTGGGGCCGTGCGCCATGCCCTGCGCCTGGAGCAGGCAGAAGGTGAGAGCCCACCCCAGAGCCAGCCACATCTCAGCCCATTCTACTTGGCCAGAGTCGGCTGCACCCCAGATTGGGAGCGGGGTGTGCAAAACCCAGGCGTCTGGGCCCCTCCAGGAGCCGGGGTGAATCCAGGTGTCTGGGCCTAGCTCTGCCCTCCCTCCCACAGGCTGGAGGCTGCCCCCAGGGTCCGTGGCTGGGCTGGTGGCCTCAATCTTCCTCCTTGTCCTGCTGGGCCTGGACCTCGGCTGCTGCTTGCGGAGGGGCCGCGGGGTCCTGGCTTGGACCCGAGACCGGCTGCGGCAGAGTGGGTGAGTGCAGGGGCGGAGTTTATAGGGGCCCAGGGGGTGGAGCTAATAGGGACCCCGGGGGAGTGGGGTCAAAGTCTGAGAGGCGGGGCCAGGGGAGAGCTGGGTGGAGGGGTTTAGGAGCTTGGGGATAGAGGGGTAAGGGTGAGTGAGGCTTGCTGGGGGCAGGGCTTGCTTGGGGGTGGGGCTTGGGAGGTCCCGCCCTCCCCCACGCCCTGTTCTCATTGGCTCCCCCACTTCTCCCCCC